CACCTGTGTCCCTGAGGTGCAGGACACCAGGGCCCGAACGGGACCGGGGCCAGTGGACCCGCATCCCTGGCGGGCCGTGCACCAGCTGGAACTGAGGGGCGGGGGCATCCGTTTCATTGACAGGCCTGTGGGGGCGAGGCCCTCCCCTCATTGTGTGCAAGAAACTCCAGAATAACCATCAGTTTCTGGGGCTGCAGCTTCTGGGACTGCTCATCAGGGCGGGTCCCTCACGCTCCCTCGGGCCTCCGCCTTCCCTTCTATGCATGCAGGGGAGGGTCCCCAGCGTGCCCACGACGAGCTCGTTTGTTGTGTGTGACTCTGACCTGGGGGGCCTGTGAGGACTCGGGGAGACCACACCTGGGAGAGGGCCCCCAACTCTGTGGTGTCAGAGCCCGAAGCACACCCACCATGTGGACACGCTGGACGGTGCCGCCGTGGGCCTGACCCTCATTGTAAGGTCACCACCCGCCTCCGTCAGACATACCCGTTCACATGTAGTTCCTTTTCAGGCGCTGACATAAACGGCCTTTTCAAATAAAATATTTCTGAGAGACGTGAACAAACCCTTGTCAGAAGACCAGGTGCTTTCCCGTCCCGCTCCTGGGGGTTTCTTGGTACCCCTCCCTCCCTCCCACCCCCACCTCCACGCCCCGTTCCCCCACCAGGACCAGGGGTCCCCCAGGGTGGCGGCAGCTTTCTTGCTCCCTGTGGACGGGCTCATCCTGGCTCTGACACTGGGGCCACCGGTCCCCGTGGGGTCGGGGGAGATGGGGCTGAGGGGGGACTAGGTCCAGCCCACGGGGCCTCCCGGGCCGCTGACGCGCCTGACTGGGGGGCTCATTACCGGGGCTGCCGAGAAGCCCACGGGGACAGGTCAGTGGCCTGGGGAGGCCCCAGAGCAGCATACTAGGACACATCAGGCCAGGGCGCTGGAGGGGGAAGTCGCAGACCCTGCGGCAGGTCTGTCTGTTGGGGCATCGGCGGGGACCAGGCGAGAGTCCCGGTCTTGGGAGCCTCGAGCTTATGGCTGTCGCCATAGGGTGGACCGTCGCTCCCGCCCCGACCATGGCCACGCCTGAGCCCTGCGGAAGTAGCTGCAGAAGAAACTACCTCAGCTCCTCGGGGTAGGGAGGAGCAGGACAATGACCAGGAGGGCAGGATGGGAGGTCACCCTCTCAGCGCATATGAGCAGGGGCGAGGGCCAGACGGTGTCACACGGCAACACGGGGCAGGGACTCCCCACCCACTGCCCTGATGAAGGACGTGGGCGTCGACCAGGAACCGATCAGGGCCATCAGTGTCCACTTGGTCCCAAAATGTGCACCTGGAGCTGCGACTGGACAGTGTTTTGTAGGGACTGGGAGCTGAGACCCCACAGGCTAGATTTGGGGCATCCTTGACAGTTCGTGTTCCTGAGGGTTCTTGGGGGTCCTGTTCCTGAAAGGTGCATGGAGTGGGAACTGGGGACGGCAGAGGAGGGGCCAGGCTCAGGGTTTCAGGGTGCCCATGTGTGGGACGTGGTGAGACAGGAGGAGACTGCTCAGGGGGCTGAGAGGTGAGTTGAACTTTCTGCCCTTCAGCATTTCCCACAGGCGGCGTGGACAGTGGCGGCACCTGCGGGTCACTGAAGCTTGAGAGGCCAAGCAGAGCAGGAGCTGAGATCCCTGCCAGGGGTCGCTGGTCAGGGCAATGAGAGAGGTCAGTAGGGAAGGACAGCACTTGTCACCTGCCATATGAGCAGAGGTAAGTCACGCACTGGCGGATGGTCCTGGCGTTTTATTCCTCTAGACTTTCATGCAGTGATGGCTCCAGGGGTGACCAATCTCACGGCCATGACAGAATTCATGCTCCTGGTGTTCCCCACCCAGGGGACCATGGGATTCTTGCACCCGCTGCTCTTCTCCCTGGTCTACCTGTGTGCCCTGCTGGGGAACGGGCTCATCGTCCTCATCACCACCCTGGACCGGCACCTCAACACCCCCATGTACTTCTTCCTGAGGAGTCTGTCACTCACAGACCTCTGCCTCATCACAATCACGGTCCCCAAGTCCATTGCCAACTCTCTGAGGCACAGCAGCTCCATCTCCTTTGCGGGATTCCCGGGCTCCATATCCAGGTCTTCATGATGGTTATGTCAGCAGGTACAGAGATGCACCTGCTCACAGTGATGAGCCTTGACCGCTATGCTGCCATCTGCCACCCCCTGCACTATGACATCATCATGAGCAGGGACAGGTGTGTGCAGCTGACAGCAGGCGAGGCGTTTGTCCTGACTGTGACCTGCGAGGGTGCCCCGGCCGGTCCTGGGCCTCCCACCCCGCTGGCCTGTGCGTTCCCATCCCGCGGGCTACAGTGAAATTTGGGGAACGGGCTTTCGCTTTCCCGGGGCCCATCCCCGCCCGCCCCAGGTCCAGCAGGCAGGAGGCTGAGCCGCGTCCAGTCTCCCAGGTGTAGGCTCTGACCAGGGGGTTGCGTGGGCCTGGGCTCTGCTTTTCTCTCGGGGTCTGGGGTGCTGCCCCTGCCGAGCCTGAGCCCACGTCTGAGGGCTGAGGTGTCACTTTCCTGTCGCGCAGCAGAGGTGGCCATTAAGAAACTGGAAGGGGCTTTCACACCTGGAAACTGCCTCATGAGGCAACTTTAATTTTTTTTTTTTTTATTTTTTAAAGATTTATTTATACATACAAGAACCGGGGTACAGACCAGTGGTATGTTTCTAAATACATTGAAAGTATTTCTAAAGTTTTAGCATATTATCAGTGTTCAACGAGCTGTGGCGATATGATAAAGTCATTCCTTTATTTGATGCATTGTTTCTTACTACTGCTTTGAATTTGCCCACAACTGATTTAACAATGAAAGGTGACAGCATGGCTTCTTTGCTGTTTGTTTGTTTTACAAAAAGCAAACATAACAATGTTAACATTGTAACAGACCACACACTAACAGTTTCAACAGTTGAAATATTTCTCAGGCAAGAGAAGTACAAATTGTCGTGGACCAGCACAGCAGTGAATGATGAGGCTGTTTTAGGGTTGAGAGACTGTGCAGGGTGGTTAGGGATTTGGTGAAAGAAATGACAAACAGACACACTTTAAGAGAGTGAAAATTTGAGTGTAATTTTATTTAAGTTAGTGGCCAGTATATATATGTTTTTTTAAAGGCATAGGATTGGTTATCAGTGAACTAAACCAGTTGGCTCATAGGTTTATTATTGAGAAGGCAGTGATTTATGTCTTGAGTTATATTTGGATTTAGGCACATTGTTAAGTAGTCAGAGCATTAGTTTTGTTTTTTGTTTTATATATTTTTTTTTAGTTAACCACTAAATTTCTTAATTATCATTAATTATAGAAGGTTGACTTATTATTTTTTATGTAATAACATTTTTTCATTAAGGATTAAAGCTAAGGAATTTTAACATATAACAGAGCAATTATTGAACTAACAATTTTGTTGTTACACAAGGTTTAGTGGTGTTTTATTTGAGTTATTTTTGTTACTAGATTTTATATGTTTTTTTAATTTAGTAATTAATGACCTTTATAGAAGAGAAGGAAGAAGTTTTAGAAAGAGTGAAGGGATAAAGTTTGTAGGTCTGAGGAGACGAGATAAGGCTCCTTTTGGTCAGCATTTTTGTGGTGGCTTTTGGTGGTCGCTATTTTTTGATAGGTGTTTGTCTTATTTTAGGGAACTTTGTTGTACACTCCTGCGCGTTGGTTTCTTGTCCAGCCGGAACTAGGGACCTTGGCAAAGCCATTAGCCCTAAAGGTCACTGTAGGGGGAGGTGTAGTAGGTCGCCCTTTGTTTTTAGAACGGAGCTGGAAGGCGTACCAAATGGAGATTGTAGACGTAGAGTTTTGAAAACTGCTCTCCCACGATCATTTGTCTTAAATCACACATTGCCATATTCACCCTAAGGCTCCCAAGGCTAACACTGCTGGGTCTGGGGAGGCATCATGTGTACAGCAGGACCATAGGACATGGAAGATATGGCAAGAATGCACACAGCTCCATTTTTGGACCAGACTAGAGATAGTTTTCTCACTCTGCAAAAAGCTCAAGTAAAGGGAGACAGAGAAATGAAGGTTCTTAGCCCCACAGAAAATAGTGTTCTCTTGTAAACATATTACACTCCCATGTGAATTCTTTATTTGGGAAGGTGGTTAACAACAGAATTTTCCCACATTATTTAATATTTGTAGGGTGAAGGTGGACTTCCTGGAGGATGTTTTCCTACAGTCCTTATGATCACAGTGCTCCTCTCCTCTGTGTGTTCTCCTGTGTACAGTGGGGTATTCCTACATTACTTAGTTCACTGCTGCATGGGCCCTCCTATGGACAGTGAGGGCTGACTTCTAGGAAAAGGTTTTCCTACACTCTTGACATTCATAGGGTTTCTCTCCTGTGTGGGTTCTCTGATGTACGGTAAGGTGTGACTTCCCGAAGAAAGTTTTTCTGCACTGTTGACATTCATAGGGCTTCTCTCCTGCATGGGTCCTCTGATGGACAGTGAGGGTTGACTTACAGTAAAAATATTTCTGACAGTCTTGACATTCATAGGGTTTCTCCCCTGTGTGTGTTCTCTGAAGTACACTGAGGTGTGATTTTCCGGAGAAAGTTTTCATACACGCTGGACACTCATAGGGCTTCCCTCCTGTGTGTGTTCTCTGATGTGCAGTGAGGTCTGACTTAGGATTGAAAGTTCTCCTATACTCATTTTTTTTTTTAAGATTTATTTTTTATTTATTTAAACAAGCACTGGGTATAGTCAGAAGCGCGGGAGGGTGAGAGAATTCACCAGAGCCAGAGTGGTGAGCAGAGCAGGCAGAAGGACCGAAGTACACTGCTGAGGGGAGCAGCGTGCAGCAGGAGAGGTCTGTGCGCCATGTGGGACACTCCTCTGGTGGCCGGGGAGCAGCCGGGGATTGAACCGGTGCTGCAGAGGCTGAGAGCGGCTTCGCAACCCAGCGCTCAACCGCTGCGCCACCGGGGATGCCCTCTCCTATACTCTTGACTGTCGTACGGTATCCCCTCTCTGTGAGTACTATGATGTTTAGTAAGGGCCAACTTTTGATTAAAAAAATTCTCACACTGTTTTCATTCAAAAGATTTCTCTACTGTGTGAGTTCTCTGATGTACATTGAGGTCTGACTTATGGCAGAAAGTTTTCCTACATTCTTTACATTCATAAGGCTTTTCTCTTGTGTGAGTTCTCTGGTGTACAGTGAGGGCTGACTTCCGATAAAACGTTTTCCTACACTCTTGACATTCATAAGATTTCTCTCCTGTGTGAGTTCTCTGGTGTACAGTGAGAGCAGACTTCCAGTAGAAAGACATTCTACAAACTTTGCATTCATAGGGCTTCTCTCCTGTGTGAGTTATCTGGTGTACAGTGAGAGTTGATTTCCAGGAGAAAATCTTCCTACATTCTTGACATTCATAGGGTTTCTCTCCTGTGTGTGTTCTCTGATGTACAGTGGGAGCTGACTTCCAGTAGAAAGATTTCCCACTCTTGACATTCATGGGGTTTCTCTCCTGCATGATTTCTCAGATGTACATTAAGGTCTGACTTATGGCAGAATGTTTTCCCACATTCTATACATTCATAAGGTTTCTCTCCTGTGTGGATTCTCTGATGAATAGTGAGGGCTGAATTCCAATAAAAAGTTTTCCTACACTCATGACATTTGTAAGGTTTCTCTCCTGTGTGTGTTTTCTGATGTTTACTGAGGACTGATTTCTGGTGAAAAGATTTCATACACTGCCTGCATTCACAAGATTTCTCTCCTGTGTGAGTTCTTTGATGTACAATAAGAGCTGACTTCTGACAGAAAGCTTTCCTACAATTTTTACATTCATAAGTCATCTCCATGGTTTGAGACTGCTGATGTTCAGTAAGACCTGACTTCCAGAAATAAGTTCTCTGACATTGCTTAGACACTAAGGGTGTCTCTCCAGTCCAAGTTCTCTGACATATTTTGAGGGTTGAATTATCGGATATTTTCCCTAATTCATAAGGTTTATCAGCTGCTTTATTTTCTCATGTTGAGTAAGGAAAGAAAATTTATAAAAGGTTTTCCCACATGTATTATAGTCAAAAACTTTCTCACGTGGTACTTCCTGAAGCTGAGTAAGGTTTAATTTGGTTCCAAAATAATCCCCACTTTGATTACATTTGTAGTGTTCAAAATCTTTATGAAGATTCAAATGTGTTGGTTTCTCAAAAAAGGATGTTTCCCATCCATTACATGCATAGTTTATCTGCCCTACCTGAGCTCTACCTTGGGCAATGAGAGGTGACATATAACAGCCTTTCCTACACTTACATTGACAGGCATTCTCTCCCATCAAATCCCTTCTATGGGTTAAAAAAAATATTGTTTCTTTGTTGACGTCTCTCCCTTCTCCACTAAATTCCAAAGGTTGCTGCAAAGTCTGAATCATACCATGAAGACTAGGATACTCGGGATATCCAGGGCATTTTCTAGTTACACTAGGCCTCTCAATTTTCTCTATTGCATGCATCTCATCAGGCTCACCAGGGAAGAACATGTTCTTCCAAGTATGAAACTCTACAGGCATCATTCCTGAATGAATGCCATTATTTATACTCAAATTCAATTATACATTGGATGCAAATTAAGTGTTTTTCCTAAGTCAATTATTTCCTTACTTGATGTTTTGCAATTGGCGATTAGAACTTGCCACAAATGCCTGCCCTGGTTTTCCTGGTTGGTCTTAATCAGGTCATCCATAGTATGGACATCTAAAATGAGATAAAAATAACCATTCCATAGACAACATCTAGGCATCTAAGCATTTCTGATATAAAGGTAAAGGAGTTTCTTCCCACACGAGGACAAGATTTTTAATTCCAAAAAAAGGCATTAATATTATGATGCAAATGATTCCTTTACATAATAAATGAAGGTATGAAATTACATTAATAGATTTTCTAATGTCAAACACATTGATGGAAAAGGTATGAAAAACATTGATTTAGTATCTTACTTTTTAAATTCATAAGGGTATACTTGGTCAACATACTGACTTACACTGTAGGTAGAGATTCTGACTGAGAGCTTTCCACCTAGCATTTATTTATCCTATTCCTTCTCTATATTTTCTCTTGTAACTGTGCATCTTGAGCAGGTCTTTTCAGAACAATCAGAACATACTTTGTAAATGGCATGATCATCCTGATCAGCTACTTACTAGGCTTAAGGAGAGCCATTTCTGTCACTTAAGCAGGACTTTGGCTCCAGGACAAAGACTTTGCATCTACATTTGCTTAGTGTTTATTTCTCTTTAGGGAACATGTACAGGCATCTGGGGGTTTTCTCAAAGGCATATCCTCTTCCTTCTCTAAGACACATTCAATTGTCTGTGAAACCCTAACTAAACCATACACCAGTGGCTTCTCAGAACCATAGTAGGTACAGAAAACCGGCTCATCACTTTGTGCAACCCTTCCCTGATGATCTAAAGCATTTAGGTTTTGCAACTGAAGGGTATACTCAACATCTTTGAAAAAAACTTTTCCCACATTCCTCTGATACTGAGATTCCTAGTATTCTTAACTCCACTTCTCAGCACATGTTCCTAGTTGAAATTCACTGCATCTGAAGATTTTAGCTTATATTTTAGAATTTCACTGCATCCTAGTTAAACTTAAATCGGAGTCCATTGTTTCTTTTCTTGGTTTTCGTTTTTCTCCCAACTATTTCCAAAAAAGAAGGTGACATTGTTAGGGGGAAAAGGATGTCCTAAAGCTAATTCCATACAGGCTTTGTGGACTCCACCCCCACCCCAGGCTAAAGCCAAAGACACTGGGAACTCCAAATCCCATCACCACCAAAGGGAAAGTGGTTGGGACCTGAGGATGGGGTTAAGAAGTCAGGTTGGTATAAAGCCAGACACGTGGGCTTTGGAGGGGTCCCCCATTTTGACTCTTCGCCAGCTCGCAGCATCAGGCCAGCTTGGAGAGTGCTTTTTGGTTTTCCAGGTCGGCGGATCGGGTAGGACGCATTAAAGACTATATTTCCCTATTTTCTCCGAGTTATACATTTTCCTTATTTCCTTTTCCCTTGTAAATAAACCTGTTATTAACCTTTTATGTATGCCTGTAGTGGAGTATTAATAAGTCCCTTGTAAGCATGCTGGGTGAGGACCCACAGCCAGGCAACCCGTTCAATATCAGGGCACAACTTCAGTCCCTGATTCCAAGGCCCCTGTTCCCACAACCTGAAATTCTTGGTTCAGTGGCTTTGGAACCGACAAGATTTGAGTTAACAAATTCCTAATATGCACCACCAATAGTGATATCCAACCTCTACTCCAGATTGCACATGCAAGACATCTCAACCTTATACACTGCAATGTAAACAGTCTCTGCGAAAGTCCCTTCTGAACCCACATTCTAAAATAATACTGTCCGTTTTCACTCACCCTGGCCATACTGTGGCATTTATCTAATTAATGTGTATTTGCTTCCTCTCCCTTTCTCACAGAAAATAAACTCCATTAAAAAAGGTGGGCGAGGGCCTCCCTGGTGGCGCAGCGGTTGAGCGCTGGGCTGTGACACTGCCCACAGCCTCTGCAGCGCCGGATCGATCCCCGGCCACTGGGTGAGGGTCCCACATGGCACACAGACCTCTCCTGCCGCCCGCTGCTCCCCTCAGCAGTGTGCTCTGGTCTTTCTGCCTGTTCTGCTCCCTGCTCTGGCTCTGGTGAATCCTCTCACCCTCCCACGCTTCTGACTGTACCCAGTGCTTATATAAATAAATAAATCTTTAAAAAAAAAAGGGGGGGGCGGACACAATCCTTTGATTACTGTTGTTATCCACACAACTTACCATTAAACATGTTGAAAGAATAAACCAATGTATGAGTAAATGCCTAAAAGGACAGTCCCTAAGAATGGAGTAAAACTGAGACTCCAGAGATTGATAAACCAAAAAAACATTTCTAGGGGAAGGTAGTTAGCGATTGCACACCAATTACTCGAAGGATATTTACAACCATTATAAAAGTAGGGGAAGTTTAATTAGGGAGCCATATTTGGAGAGCAAATAATAAATGAATTACATACACAGAGACCAACCATTCTAAGGTCTGGCTATGGGGAAAATAGCTCATTAGGGCCTAGAAGTCCTGGGCTCTCCTCCTCCCAGCCTCCCTTCCTAGTATGCAGTGACTGACCTAAGAGGCTCTGGTTTGAGGGTTCCTTGACAGTCCATGGCTCTGCTCCCTGCTCCAATCTGATGATGAATTCAGGTTTGCTAACACAAAACCTTGTTGAAAAGAGAAAATGTTGACTTTAGACAGAACTGCTTTTGTCTCAGTCTTTGAAGACAACAACTGCACAGCTTTAAGAGCTGAGCAATGAAAGGGTGGTGTGGCTCCCAGACAGGGGTGAACACCCTTACCTTCCAGGTTTGCCATCTTGAACTAAATAACATTAATTTTATAAACAGCTGTACATTTATCAATGAAGATAAAACAGTGCTTTCACTTGTTTATTACAGGGCAGTTTCACTTACGCGTGGACAACAGGCTGTTGTAGGTCTTCAGCATCACATCCCTGTAGAGAGTCCACTGAGCATCATCTAGGTCCTGCCACTCCACCCAGGTGAAAACCACAGCCACATCCTCAAATGACAACATCTTCTGCAATGAACATTTCTCAATTCAAGGCATCAGCCTATGTAAGAAGCATAGGACATGACTGGGAGCTCATTTTTTTATGTTTTTATCTTGTGTAGGAAGCAGCCATCACTGGTACTCTATATAGTACAAAAGTGATTCCACAGTAGAATTACCCCACTTGTCTTAACTCATTAGTTCTTAGAAGTACTTTTTAGATTTCCTTATGAATCTGGAAATGTCCTTCATGCTAAGGATGAAAGAATGAATAAAAACCTAGTCCTCAAAGAAGCTTATAATCTAGATTGCTGACTTAAGCCTAGACATACATCTGGAATAATGTTCTAAAGCAACTATGAGAAAAACAAGTTTAGTGTAGCCTGGTGTTAAAAAAGGAGTGGGGAGGGGCGGGAAACAGCACTATCTGTTATCAGGTTGTACTTCACTGAACATCCAAAGATGTTTAGCAATTTCATAAACTACATGTTCTCATGAATATGAGGTAGTAGCAGAAATCAAGATGTGAGGAAATAAAGAGCAGTTAGCAAATTAAAGTGCTCCTAGCTTGTGAGGTGAGATAGGAGAAAGACTGAATATGAAGTTAGTTTGCATTTCCAGATACAACCTGATTCTGTCAATAAAAGTCTTAGGTGATCACCATGTCTCTAATAACCTATTTAAAGTTTGCATACATCCTAATTACCTAAAGGCTTATTTTCACTCCCAAGTGAGCAAAACACTTTCCTAAATCACAGGGTGTAAATAACAAGGGAATACAAATAGGTAAATTACAGGCCCTCCCTGGTGGCGCAGGGGTTAAAGTCTCAGTGCTTTCAAGCTATCACCAGCTACTGTGGCTTGAGTTCAATTCCCAGGCATGGACTTGACCCACATGGCACAGCAGACCTCTCCTGTCTCGACCACTGCTCCCCTCAGTAGTGTATTGCAGGGAATCTGCCTGTTCTGCTCCCCACTCTTATCTCTGATGAATCCGCTCACCCCCCCACATCTCTGGCCTACACTCTAGTTCTCTATGCATAATAAATAAAAATCTAAAAAAAAGTATGTAAGTTACATGGTGGAATTTTCAGTTTAACAGTCATCCCCTAACAGGAGAATGGGAAAATGCATAAGGGAAAGTCAGAGAACAAAGCAGAGGGACAGCATTACGTATACTGTGGTAGCAGACTTGTACGCATATAGAACACAGCACTAACCCTAACACAGTGGGCAGTGGGGGAGGAGGAATGGAACTGGGTAATACTTGGCTGTCTGAGGGGTGAATGCCCTGCTTGATGCAGGCCTGCACGTCACACATTGTCCCTAGGTGACAGGGGCTGGCACACTACTGATGTTCTGCAAGTGCCAGCACTCTAGGCCCTAACTCTGGCGACTCCTTGTGCATGCAAGACTCAGAAACTAGATCTACCATTGCTATAACACAGCCAGTATCCCATGGCTGAGTGTTTTCATGTATGGAGGACTTGTATATATTACTTTTATAGCCTGGTAATTGTGATTCACTATGGTTTTCCAAGTATTGGGTATAACAAATTATGATTTTTTTAAACATTTATTTATTTATGCACACAAGTGCTGGGGAATAGGCCAGCGTTACAGGGGTGAGAAGATTCACCAGAGACAGAGTGGGGAGCAGATCAGGCAGATCCACAAAAGGGGATTTGAAGTGCTGTGGTGAGCTTCAAAAAAAAGGGGATTTGAAGTGCTGTGGTCAGCTACAAAAAAAAAAAAAAAAATTCAAGAAGGATTTAATCAATGCTGTAAACCCCGGGGAAGAGGTCCAAGCTGGATGGAAACAGTAGGGACAGTCAAATCACAGGGGCTGACTCAGAGAGAACTGAAGTATGAAGAACGGGGCACAGAACTGAACACATGGATGGATGACATTTATGAGAAGAAACACAAGCATTCAGGGGAAAGAGAATAAATCACCAGAGAGGCAGTGACAGAAACAAAAAGCAGGAATTTTCAGATCATGAGTGGTATTGACATAAACGGCAGATGGTTCAATTAAGGCAGACTAGAGAACCAGGGACTAGTCACTGGATTTGACGGCAACTTAATTATAAAGTGGTGAGATTTACACATAGTGAATTGGGACTACATTCAGTGGGCCAAAGCGGATACCCACATTTTATATCTGCCATATTAAGCCTCAATAGCTGTTATCAATTTCATAAACATTTATTAATTTTGTAACAGTTGCCCAAAAAACGTAACATCAAACAGCATACCCATGCACCTGTGTATAGAGATCAGCTGAGAGAAATGCCAACAGACAGCACATACCACCAAAACGAAGCTCCTAAACCCAGCAGCCATCTCACTGCATCAAGTGACCACACGTCACGTTTCACCCAAGCAGCATGAGCATAGGGACGAAAGGACTAAACCACAGGCTGAGATGGCCAATGAACACAGATGCAGAGTTCCTCAACAAAATCTTAGCAAGCCAAATTCAACAAAATATCAAGAGGATCATACATCATGGCTAAGTGGAATAGAATTTATTCCTAGAATATGAGGATGGTTCAACATACATCCATCAATGTCATTAAAGGAAAGATAAAAATCATATGATCATATTAACAGATGCAGAGAAGGCATTTGACAAGATTTTGTACCTACTTATGATATGTACTTAGTGAAACAGGATTAGAAGGAATATAATAAAGACCATATATGATAAACCGACAGCTAGCATCATACTCAATGGTGAGAAGCTCCTAAAGCTTTTCATGTAAGATCAGGTACATGCCAGTGATGATTTATCTCACCACTACCGTTCAATATAGTATCAGACAGATGAGCTGGAGCAATTAGGCAAGAGCCATAGAAAAGGAATCCAAATTGGAAAAGTAGTAAAAACATGACTACTTCAAGATGATATTACTACAGAGCTACAGAAAACCTGTTAGCCCCTACTAAAAAAGTATTAGAAACAATAAATCAACACAGTAAAGTGGCAGACCACAAAATCAATATACAAAAGGCTGTTACACTCCTATGTGTGAATAAACTAGAAGATAACAAATCAAGAAAACAACACCATTTACATTAGCATCAAAAAGTATTAAGTACCTATGAAAAAAGTGAACAAATGAGGTGAAAGATCTATTCAATGAAAACTACAAGCCATTGCTAAAAGAAATAGAAGACACGATGAAATGGAAAGATAGTCCATGCTTGTGGATGGGAAGAATTAACACAGTGAATACGTCCATCTTACCCAAAGAAATTTACAGGCTCAGTGCAATCCCTATCAAAATTCTATCCGACTTCTTTAAAGAAATACATGAAATATTACTGAAATTTATATGGAACCACAAAAGACCCTGAATGGCTGAAGTAATTTTTACAAAAAGGAGAACAGAGGTGTCACACTTCCAGACTGCAAGTCCATAAAAATCAAACAGACACAAAGACCAATGGAAGAGAATTGAGAGCCCCAAAATAAACCCACACTGACATGGACCATTGATCTACAATAAAGGAGCCAATTGTATGCAATGGAGAAAGGAAAGTCTCTTCAAAAAATGGTGCTGGGAAGACTGGACAGTCACATACGGAAAAATGAAACTACTCTCTCACACCATGCACAAAAACCAACTAAAGTTTGATTACAGACTTGGATATAAGACCAAAATCCACTAAATACATAAAAAGAAAACGTAGGTAAAACATTCCACAATAGTGGCTTCAGGGAAGTCTTTGGGGGATTCAACTCCAATTGCAAGGAAAAGAAAAGCAAAAATAAACAGTTTTATTTTCACTGCATCAAACTAAAAGACTCTGTACAGCAAAAGGCACTATCAGTAAAGCAAATATATACCACACTGAATGGGAGTAAGTATTTGCACATCATATATCTGATGAGGGCTACAGGCAAGATGTACAAAGAACTCACACAACACAAAATGAGAACAAAGAATCCAATCAAAAGATGGAAAGTGGAGCTAAACAGATACTTCTCCACAGACAACACACAATCAGTCTACAAGCACGATTCAATATAATTTACTCTCAGGGAATTACAAATGAAAACTACTATGAGATACCTCCTAACTCATTTAAAATTGCCATATTAAAACATACACACATACACAAACAGAAACAACAATTGTTGGTGAGGATGTGCAGAAATCCTCATCACTGTTGACGGGAATGCAGACTGGTTCAGCCCCTATGGAAAATAGTGTAGAGGTTTCTCAAAATATCAAAATAGATATGTCATATGATCTATGATTCCACTTCTTGGCATGTATCCAAATAATGCAAAAGCACTCATCTGAAGAGATATATATGCTCTTCTGCTTATTGTAGCACTATTACAACAGCCAAGTTATGGAAACAACCTACGTGCTCAAAGGCGGAAGAGTGGGTTGAAGGAGCCGCCGTCTACACCGTGGAATACTCCTCAGCTGTACAGTAAGGTGAGCCGGGCGCAGGCTCGCCAGGTGCCAGCAGCCAGAGCAGGGATCTGAGAGCGCAGCTTAGTCTGTTGCTCTGGAGTTGGCGCGGCCCAGGGAGCGCTGAGGCCCAGCAGCTCCATCAGGGGCAGGTGGCTCCTCATTACGAAAATCCTGGACACGTGGGCTCCCCTGACGGGACACGCAGCTGCTGGAGGGGGACTGTGGGGGCTCCAGCGCGCAGCGGGTGAAGAGGGGAAGCCGGGGGAGGCCAGGCTTAAAAACGCGGCCTTGGCTCCGAGCTGGCCGCCAGCCCGCCCGCCCCCGAGTGGTGGAAGGCCGCGGGGAGCCCCGGCTGCGAGGCAGGCGGGACTCTGCCTTCCAGCAGGGACAGGCGCGCTCCGCCTGGCTCGGGAGGCCATCAAGGCCCGCGGGGGCCGCGCAGACATGAGCCTGTGCCGAGCGAGCCCCCCACCCGCCCACAGGAGATCCGCGCGGCCCCGCGGCCGAGGAGGAAAGCCCGCAGAGGACGCGCGCGCCGAGCCTGTGGGGGAGCCGGCCGGGGCGACACGCCAGGCCACGCCGCTGCGAACC